CTCTCTCTCTCTCCTTCTCTCTCTCTCTCCTTCTCTCTCTCTCTCCTTCTCTCTCTCTCTCCTCTCTCTCTCTTCTCTCTCTCTCTCCTTCTCTCTCTCTCTCCTCTCTCTCCTTCTCTCTCTCTCTCCTCTCTCTCCTCTCTCTCCTTCTCTCTCTCTCTCCTTCTCTCTCTCTCCTTCTCTCTCTCTCTCTCCTCTCTCCTCTCTCTCTCTCTCCTTCTCTCTCTCTCTCCTCTCTCTCTCTCCTTCTCTCTCTCTCTCTCTCCTTCTCTCTCTCTCTCTCTCTCCTTCTCTCTCTCTCCTCTCTCTCCTTCTCTCTCTCTCCAAGAGCACCTGAACTAGATCAGATCTTTCATAAGGGGAAAGTTATTCATTAGTTATTTTATGTTTTTTACCTCTATCTCATTTGGGTATCACTCATTTCCTGAATCTCCTTTCTTGACACTATTTCGACATTCATTCGTTATATCCTTTGTATTTGTTTTTCATCGGTGCTAATCTTGATCTAGCAAACTTTCCTGGACAATTAAATCACATTCCATTTTGTAACATTAATAATTGTGTGATATACTGTGGTCACTGCTTAAGAAGTCAAATTTTATTGGACAATTTGGCCAAAAGTTCGAAATTTGTTAAGAAATTTGCCAAGAGAGATGGCTCAGGGCGGTCATGATGGTGACAGGATTTCACTAGCTTGTCAGCTAGGTCAAATTCAATCGCTGTCTGGAGGAGAATTCGAGCAGCAGGCTGCTCTGATCGGTAGTTTTCTGTGGTTTCTGCGATCAATGCCAGACGAATGCCAAAACAGTACCTAATAATATGTGTCACAGACCGCACATGATCATTCCGTCCTCTTCCTTATCCTATCCTGACCCCTTACACACACACACTTAGTCAAAAAAGGAAAATCCATGTTGACTTGGGTGCAATCTATCAGGAAATATCAAAAATCTTGTACCAGCGGTGTACTATACACACTGGCATGACTATTTAAGTAGCTACATCCTATTATAACTTACTTTCAAATGTGAATTTTTAGTATAATTGGATTTAGTAATTTTTACTATAAAATTTATTCCATGCTTTTATTTTATTTGTCGTGTAAAACATATTGAATATTAAATGTATTAATAGTTATATGTATGATTAGTAAATGCATGGTAGCTTGTAATATTCTTCATATCTAATGTATAAATGGAATGAGAGTTCCAGGAACAAAATTTTAGAGCTGAACGACAACCTTACTTACAGGTGAAACCAATATCTGCTGCTGATGAGAAGACTTTAGATTGTGCTATTGCTATGGCTAATGAACTAGCAGCACGATCGATGAATGATTTAGATAGTGGAACACCACCTGAATCTCCTCGTACACCTAATAAGCGTAAATTTTCTTTCCGATTTCCATCTTCAGGTGTAAATAAACATACTAGCCCAAAAGCAGAACGGCGGACGTTCTCAGAAGAAGCAGCGTCTATTCCTGACATTCAGGTTAGTCTTCATTTATTGTATTGGGTATAACAAAAAATTTGAAGTGTAGAGAAAATAATTCTTAAAAATGTGCAGTTAATTAGCTAAGCAATTCACACAGTTATAAACATAAATTTTTTGTTGAATGAATAGGCGTGTTATTCTTGAAAATAAACTTTACATTGTAAATAAATTGTAACTGCTTTGTGATAGAATTATCAGAAATTCCAAAGTAAATGAAATAAGCCAAACTTCAACTTTTGATTCCTAAAAAAACTCCTTTTAACTACAAAAAATTTGATTAATCATAATAATTAAGTAAATCATGTATGGCAACTAATTGTGTTGGTGTCTCTCTTTTTTTTTATTTTGTATATCCTTTCAATTCTTTTTATGTTTGGATTTTTTATTAGCCTTTTTTTAGTAATAATGTAGAACACCCTTCAATATTGTCTTTTAGTACATTTCCATCAATATGTTGTGCTCGAAAACCAAAGGTTCATTCATCATCCAACAATTTTTCTATAAGAGAACCGACTTCCTATTTCCTTGCATGTTCTAAAAATTCAGTCAAGCATACATCTGTCATTGCAGAAGATGCACACACCCAACCTGTTCTAACTTCAATTGCAAATGTTTCATTGAAACTGGATCCACTATCATCTCCACATACAGTTCTTTTGGGTTATGAAAATAGAGATTCATTCAATACTTTTTCTGAAATGGATATGAATGAAACTATTATGAATACAAAACCATGGCTAAAAGTTCGCTGTGAAAATGGAAGTTCTGAAAAACCATTTAAAAACAAATTGAGATCACCTCAACGGAAAGTTCAAGCAGAGTTCATGCATCCTTCTGAAAATGCCTCCAGTAAACAAGTGCTTGCATATTTGCCAATTAGTAAATCGTCCACCATGGAATGTGAGAGTACATTAGTTACTCCTCTATCACCTGAAAGTGCTTGTCTATTTCTTTCATCATCAGGCACATCTAGTTCTGAATTAGAAGAGTACCCAGAGCTTGCTAATGATTTCAAAGGATTGGCAACAAGTCCTACTATATAAGATGCCTTTAATTTTTTTATTACATTTAATTTATCATGTAATCAAGGATCAAAAGGCGGGACAAGATTCAGATTTCTTATCTCTTTTTCAGAAAAATTTACATGAAGTACAATACTTTTTGAAGGTTATGGTAAAAAATAACTCCTAAATAATTATCCTCATTGTAATTCAGTACAAGACTTAAGATGTTCACAATTACTTTGAAATACGTTTTCGACAAATACCAAATGTTTACAAAGAGAAATAAAGAGCTTTTTGTTGTCACTCTGTAAAATTATCTGTTTGACGCTCATGTGTTATGATTGGTTGGGTGTGAGATCCTCAAAAGAAATCTAATTTGTAGGGTACTTTTTTACATGAGTAAATGCCATTAATCTACAAGAAACTAGAATTCAAGGTAGTTTCATGTTCTCATTTCTGACTTGAAAGTAAACTTTCCTATCATTTTCTGTTAAGTGACAAATATTAAAATTTGTTCTAAGAGTTTTGTTTTGCTAGTATTTGCATGCATATTTTTTAATCTCTATTGGTTTTGTTAAATGAGATTTAATTGGTGTTTATTGTGCTGAATGTAGCGTGTGCACAGTATTATGCTTTGTGTAGAAATGTGTATTGTGGTAGAACATTAGAATTTTGAGAAATGGCAAAATTTCATATTCAAAGTTCATTAGCTTTAGCAGTTTTTGGCTATTTTCACCAAACTTTATTACGAAGTATTCTACTGTGTACTAGTGTGTAGTGTATCTTGTAGTGCACATTGTTAAATAACTTTTTCCTCCTTTGTTTTCTTTTTTATTTGGATTACCTTGTCCTATTTTTTCCTGTTCCAATTTTCCTCACAGTCCTCACTTACTGATGAAGCAAAAGAAGTTTACAACAGTCTTGTGGAGCAGCCGTTGTCTTCACCTCCAGCCTCATCACTTGGATCACCCTCGCCACCAGTGGATACAAATCCATTGCGAATGCTTCGTAATGGTGCATTTCCTGTTGTGAGGCCAAGAGTGCGTGGGAACAAGCACAACAGCATAAATGGAGTTCCACATACGGAGCCAGTAATTGCAGTAGGTACTCGGAGTTTGCCTCGACTTCGTGTTCCCCCTCCTCCCACTGCACCACCTCCAGTCCCTCTTCAGCGTTTGCCTAGCAAAGGAGATGTACCTGTGGAAGCAGTGGATGTTTCATGCACAACTATTTTTGGCCCTCGTGAAGGACCTTTAAGTTCTCAAACTTCAGAGGATAATGGGGATGTGTTTGAAAGTGTAGAAAATGAAGAATCTAATAATCCTATTCCTTTACCTCCTCGAGACCGATCACGGCCTCAACCTCCAAACAAACCGCGGCACCAGCGGAAACATCCATTGATAATTCCTGGAGGAGGATTATCAAGAACATTGGTGAAAGTGGCTTGTGCAGAGAATGCAGATCTTCCAACTTATTTAGAGGTCCAAAGTGAGATGTCAGACCAAATGCAAGAGTCTGTTCAAGATCAAAACGAAATAAGGTGTTTATTTAAATGGTTATTGATATTGTGCAGTGAACTCTCTAATGTTTTGATATTTTAATGTGAAAATGTTCTTTTTAAGCAGCCCTGGGGTTGAAGATGATAGTTTTGAGCAAAGAATTGCTTGTGAATTAGCAGCCTTGGATGATATTTCTGATGATCGTTCAATGGTACGTCATGATGATCACGTATCGTGTGAAGATCTTCTGGAATTTGCTTGTGATGCACCTAACACTCGACGCACTCAAGGGAAAGCGCATGGCATTGAATCTGATGAAGTTCGAATTATGGGAAAAGTTTTAGGAACAGAAGTGAGTGATTTTTAATGAATAATTCTTGTATGAGAAATATAAAATTAGGATTTTTTTTTTACCTAAGTGGTTGAAATTTTAACTTAATTTTACACAGGTGTCTGCTGAATGCTGTGTCGCAGCTCTTAATACAGTAGACTGGGATGTGCATCAAGCCATTAAACTTGCTCGACTGTACAATCTTTTGCAGTCAACAATGGAAACTCCAAGTGATTGGGTGACATGTAATGAGGCATTGGAGACCTGCAGTTGGGATGTGAGCAGAGCTGCTGGGTGGGTTCTCACTCAAGGACAGACTTCTGACACCACACAGGTATGAAACAGGGCCTTACAAGATATTTTCGTAATAGCTTCTTTAAGCGAGTATTGTGTATAAATGAACATTGGCGGCAGTGGAGTATTCTACTTTGTGATGTACACCAACAGAGAAGATAACCTAAAAAATTATCTCTTCCATTTTGGGTGCTCAGACAAGGGAAGCGTAAATGAAGTTGATTTAAGTGCCTCACATTTTAAATATTTCAAAAAAATGTAAAATTAGGAAAGTTGCTGATGAAGTTCTTTTTTGACAAATGTATATATATTTTGTGAATTACGAGCAAACTTCCATAGTCGTAGTGTGTTTGCAGACAGAAATTTTCAGATATACTCAACCCTTGCAGACCCACATGCCTCAACCCACAACAGTAGAACCCATTTCATTAAAATGAACTGTTTAATCTTTTCTGCTCATGAATTTAATTTATGAGAAAAAAGGAAAAGGAACAGATTAATTTATTAGTTGAACAATTCTGTTTCAAAAACATTGTAAAAGATGGTTCAATGTCGATTTTGATCAACATTATGAATAATCTCCTGCTTCTGTTTAAAGCTATTACCAAGTATAGAATTTGTTATATTCATTTATTTATTTCAAACTTTCTTTAGTACTTTGTATTATTAAAATGTTTTTACTGGATTTATTGTGTATAAAAATTGTAAGTCGTAGTTAGCACAATTTTTCATGTGAGAAATTTTGTAAATAGATCTTAGTATAAGCAGGTTCAGGGAAAAACATGCGAAAGCACAATTTTACAAGTTGGGGGTAACAATCAACTGTAGCCTTGAAAAGGTTATTAAATTTTATGAAGTCCCTTCTTACATTATATTATTATTTACGCTCTCATATTTTGCAAATTTTGCATAGCAAAATAGCCTTTTAGGCTCACTTGTCTGAATCGTGTGACATATTATTGAAAATTTGCTTGTGGAAGTAAAACTGCCATGTTTACAATGATTTGTGCTCTTGTTCATGTACTACAGTTAAGTGCAAGATATTTGAAAAAGTGATAACCAAAGATATAAATTCATACCATAACAAAGAGGTTATTTTGTAATTACCACAATGTTATTACTTTATAAGATTTATGTTTTTTTGTGAAGTATAAATTTGATCAAATATCAGTGAACATTTGATAATATATAGCAATTTAAAGTATTATATACTATCATTACTTTCATGATGCTTGTAGCATTTTGTACAATTCGTGATATGTGAAATCGTATGGCCTAAGGATAAGCACATAAACTCATATCTTTCCTTTATCTATTCAGTAATGTAAGTAGCTCTAAGGAATCAAAATGCAAAGAAAAGTACTTATTTGTCTGTTGAATTTTTGACAAGTACTTTCTGAGAGGGATCTCAAAAAATTTAATAAAAAAAACAACTTAAATAACATCTTTTATGGTGACTTATCATTGTTACATGATTTCTTACCATTAAGAGCTATTCAGAAAGTATATTGTCATTACATTACAACACATTAAGTTAGTGTAAAGTGTGCCAAACAAGCACATCTTTTGATCCAGTTTTAGAAAAGCTTTATTATTGCCTTGATACTGATATATATATTTGTAGAAAGGGTTATGTTACATTGTGATGTTACGGTGATTGTAGGTACAATTCTGTACCAATGAGTTGAATTTTATTAAATTCTCTGAATGTATTTTAAGTCAGGATTTTAATCTCAAGGCACCATCCATATTTGAAAGTGCCAATAAAAAGATATTCAATGATGAAATTATATTTCTTTATTTTCTTGGTTACTTAATAGTTGTGTAATTGCTGTGATTTAGTAAATAGCAAAAATACAATTACTTTTTACTTTACTTATTTTGAAAAATGCATAAGAAAATCAGAAATGTTATATTTTCTAGACTAGCACATTAAAACCTTGAGGTTTACTGAATTACTCTCCATGCCATACCATAGTGCATTGTGATCACTGCCTGTTCTCCACATTTCTGGTTTACAAAGCAAATTTGTAAATTCATGCATTTTACTGCAGGTTCTCATGAGTAATTAAACATATTTTCTGAATTTTGTAAAAATAAACTTTTGCATTTCTGGTCTTTTTATATGGAAGCATATTTGCAAGTTTGTAGATCTTTTTTTTATGTACTTTTATATTTCAAATATACAATCTTATAAAGCTGTAAATGAAGTGTTCTTTAACTACTTCCCCTAAACATTTTGAGTCCTTCTCTTTCATCCTTAGTTTAATTATAAACCATAGTGATTTCAGCAAATATTCAATATGAATTTTAATGACTAAAAAAATAGGTAAACATCAGACGGTATACAAATCAATTTACAGTGGGTTCTAAGGTACAAAGCAGGTGCTCTGAATAGTGGTTTTCTTAGAAATGCATTGCTGATTTATCAACTTCAATACTGTACAATAAATTTATTATTTTGTAAAATCTTTATGAATCTCTTGATGAATACAAAAGCAGTGGAACTGAAAATACACACTCAATCCTACAATCATATACTTGAAATTTAGAAATGTACTGAATATTGAAAAATCTTGTGAGTATTGTTCATTATTGGAAAATCTTCTGTGATATAACTCCGGATGATTTACCAGTCAGGAAGCAAAATAGTTGGATGTTATATTTCAGTTCTGCCTACAAAACTGGCAATGTGTATTTCTTACTGAAATGATCTTCTGCATGAATCTTCTACATTTTAAGGAACTAGATACTAGTTATTGTAAGAAATATAAGTCACACAAGACAGATACAATCTCATGTAAGACTATATGAACTCAAATAACGGATATTACACATGCAACAATGACATTCCTCCAGGTTCCAGTTTTAAGAACAAATGCTTAATTCTTGTAACATTCATAAATATGAGATTTAAAGCAACCAACATATAATATGATTAGAAGTCGCAAGTACATTTTTTCCAAAAAATTCCTTCAAAGACCTTCATTCTCATAACAGTATTGGTAGTCTGCAACCAGTCAGCCTTGTTTTACATACACAATGTTTGTGCATCAGGGTGGCCCCTTTCTGGAAAACCAAGGAATTTAATTGCTTTGGAAAAATCAGGAAATTTGTAGAATCATTCGAAGTCAAGAAACATTTTGAGATGGTTATGTAACTAGGTAGTAAGTAAAAAAATGTAAAAAAACAACTGTGACTCAATTTTTATTAGTTTCAGGAAATAAGTGGGCACCCTGTGCTTTTAATAATGGTAACACTATCCTAAACAAATAATTTTACATTATCCAACTGAATATCTTGATATGATTGTGGAATTTTTAAATTTTAAAACTGTATCTGATGAAATTATACATAGAGATTAATACATATCAGAAACTGGATGAACTTGATAAAAACAGAAAGAGCCTTTTAATCATATGGTTTTTAAACTATAATAAAATGCAGATATTCAAATACATTTTTAAACATTCTATTTTTCAGAATCGCTTTTGAAATAGTAATGTAACAATCCGGTTTTGAATAAAGTGTCACTAGATAAATCTTCCTAGAACTCTCCATTAAAATTTTAACACTAGATGAAGGAGGCAGTCATTATGACCGCTGAGAACATTGCTTTGTGCAATCGCATACTGTAGTGGAGTGTCTGTCCAAATGGAACTTCATTCCACTTAGGAAGAATTATTTTTCCCTTATGATAGCAGTAACCTTGAATTACATTGCAAGTCTTATTTTGCTCTGTTAAAATTTTCCCCCATCTGTGAGTTTGTTCAAAAGAAGAGTACAATCGTGTACATAACCTACCCTTGAGTTCAGTTTCACCTTATTTGAATTTTGAACAATATTTCCCTTGGTGTGATGGGAACAAAATATCTTACGAAGGAGACTAATTTTTGTTGCATGGTAGAAGGTACATACTGAACATCAATAAATTGCCCATTCAGACATGAAAACAAAAATAAAGATATGAAAAATTACTTGTAAAACAATTAGGTGTAAACTGGAATGATCTGATGGATTTGGGTATTTGTTTAAAAAATATCCACAAAACTAAATGGGTGCTTAGGAACCTTGCTAGATAAGAGCTTTGATAATGTTTTTAACAGTTGAATGTTCAATAAAATGTTTATAGTATAATTTTATATGAATTACACAGGCATACACAGAAAAAAGTTTCGCACAAGAGTGGTGTAATTCTAGCTTCAATTTTCGATTCAGGGTTAACATACGTAGCAAAACATGTGTCCAGTCTTTGGGTCATTCAACTACCTCCGAAAACAAAAATATAATTTCACGATAAAAAAAATTGGAGGGTGAAAGGTATTTCAATGTGCTGAATCTGAATGTGAAGCCAGAATTGCACCATGTATTGTACCTGAGACATGTTTCTCTATAGAATCATCTGTCAAATCTTTGGGTCTATTTTTTTGTGTGCCTGTGTTATGAATTATTGTTTAGAATTCCAACTTTATTAGGGAACCACGTATTGAACAAGACTGAACAGAGAGGACATTTTTAAGACATCTGGGCAAACAGGACTGTTTGTATTTTTTTTTTGAACTTCACAACAATGATCCAACTCCCTTAACGTAAAAGTATAGTTAGCAATATTTAAAAACTAGAAATGTTCCTTGATTTTGCATTTAATTATTATGACCATGCCAGAAATTGCTATTTTTAGAAATTTGCCTTATTTGAGACTTAATTGCAAAAATTTAGGCATTTGCTTACTATAACAGAGACACTAAAATCACCTTATTTCTTTAGATTCAATTATTAAAAAACTATCAACAATAGAGTTAAGTAGTTTCTAGCCCCAAAAATATATATAAAAATTTAGTGTTTAAGAACTTTGAGGGGAAAAAAGAAAACAGGATACAGCTTCCATAAGACATCCAAAAGAAGTTCACTAATCAGCGAAGAATACGTTTTGGTTTGGGGGAAATTCATCATTGGTGTATGAAAGAATACATTTAAAAGGCGGATCAAATTCTAATACTAGATTACTTGGGAAGTGGAATTTTGGTATGTAATAAACAAGGCCAAAAGAATAATAATTCAATACTTGTATTAACAAGATTAACAAACTTCAAAAAGTTCTGGCAGTACATCATTTAGAAACCAGCTTTTGGACATTCACTTTGCTTTCACCACCTCTCAACCATACACTCATAGCATTAACAACTTATAATAATTTTTCTGGAAATTTTCAGTCACCTCCAGATGGTTAGTACTTCCATTTCCAAACTCTTATTATTGCTTCCTGATTTATTCCAGAAAGTTATCAGATTACAAGATTTCCTCAAAATGTATGAAAACAAAACTTTGTGGTTAAACAATATTGATACATTTTTATGTACATTAACAAGCAAACATTAACACTTTTACTATACTTCAGAAATTTGAAATTGAAACTGTGTCAAAATTACAATCCATGATGTGATAAATATATTTTTCTAAATAAATATCTCAAAGGCTTTAGAGTTCTAACCACAAGATCTCACATTCTAAGCTTAGTTGAATCAGGAAGACATAATATCATTGTGCTGAACTGAAATTACACTGATTGGCAGCTGACTACAGAAACAACATGCTACTTAACATTAAGGTGAAGGCTGATGCGTTATTTACACAAATCGTGTGAGACCTCTACACTGGCCATTAATATTTAGTTAGCATGAAATAGGTTTCAATTGTTAAATACAAAACTACACCTAGGGTTCAATTTTGTACCCCTGAATGTATGGAAGTCCTGTAGGAACTTTTTTCTGATACTGATAATAATCTTCTCCAAAAAAATTTAACAGTGTAACTTCTTCTATCAATATTCGATCACGAAAAAATTGCCAACTGGCCAAGATATATCCCGTGATACAAATGGGATTGACCAAAATCAACTGCAACAGAGAAAAATTAACAATTTACAAATTCTTCATCAAATATCACCAGAGCATCTTTTAAAGAATACCTGAGTTCCTATTGACCAGTAAAACCATCCTACATAACTTGGATGACGGCAGTAGCTGTACACACCATGTGTCACCAACTGATGACCTTCTTCTTGGACACTTTGAATTATGTGTGTAAAATTTGATTTTGCTGTCAGCATTGCTAGTTTTCTTAATCCTTCCCCCGCAATACACAAAATAATTCCTACATATGTGATTTCATAAGACTGCTTCAAACCTTGTAAATAAAGAAGTTAAGTAATAACTTTTTTTTTAGAAAAAATAATGTACAATACACAATATTCTGATATATTCACCTGGAAAGAAATACCATTCAATAAAAAATTCCACCCAACTGGAAATTGCAGCTATTGCATATTCTCTACTATGATTTAGTACAAATGAGTCAAGAGAAAGTGTTCTAGGATTGGTTATTGCTATCATTAAAAATTCAGAATAGTGAAAAAATGACAGAAAGCACATGTAATATCCAAAAACCTGCCATGATGGCTGCAAGTAAAATGCTATGAAGATTCCACAACAGAATGCAAATCCAAGAAATAGTGCCCGGATTGCAACCTGCAATAAATACATCAGCATTACACAGGCTGAACTATACATCTAAATACAAACACACAAGAAATTCGCAGGTTTTACCTGATATGCAGCTCCATTAAGGAAGGCAGGAAGGACTGCATTTTCAAGAAGATAATAAAGCGGGAACAACCACCAGAAATGATTTATCAAGCATACACTAATAAAATCAATCCGGGGAATCAACAGCAGTAATATTAATTGTGATGACAAAAAGCAGCAGAGACTTACTTTCCCATTGTACACTAACATCACAAACCGTTCAAAATAGCATCGTGTAAATAAGAGAGTTTATTGTCTAACAATAACTTAGGTTATTTAAAATCTCAACCCTTTCTATCTCATAATTATACTTCAGCAACTTCCCTCAAATTAAACAAGAGGTTCAAGAAATGACGTGTATCTTTTGTATACCATTCAGGTGCGATCTACATGAGATTCCGTATCTTTCGTGAATAGCTCTGGAGATTCTGTCAGCGGCCAAGCGCTCCGGCAAGAGCTGTCCAGGACAGTCCAGGAGTTGTCTATCCTCAGTGTTAGTATACAAACAAGTAAGATTAAACCAAGATAACACGGGAATTGTTCATTAAAAGTAGAAATTGTGTACTTCGTGTTTAATTACTGTCACTTCTGAAACAAAATATGACGTAAACAATTTTTTTGCCACAAGTGCGCGTACTACTGCATGCCCAAATATAACCAACAAATTAAGGGCCCGGGGACGGGAGCCAATAGGAACGGCAGAATCCGACCAGTAGAACCACCCACCACACACTACCACTGAATCGACTGCGAACAAAGGTCATTACCGACCAGTTAAGAGGACCGATAAGTACTGATATAAATTTCTAGCCATCTTGCTACAATATTACACCGTGAAAGAATATTCTTCCATGATTACACACTTCATATATTCCCTCGGCCAGCTCGCTTTTGCGCCTGCTGCCAGCCTGCTGCTGCGCTGACGCTGAGGTACCGCAATTCGTCTGCATTTGATCCGTATTATCCGCACTTCGACTGCAGTCACATATTAAAAAAAAGAAAAGAAAACAACAACAACACACACATTTCAGCTCTGCGGGTAATAAGCGTAGCAACTCCTTATAAATAATAATAATAATAATAATAATAATAATAATAATAATAATAATAATAATAATAATAATAATTAATAGCGGCCACATTGGTAGTGGAATATTTTTTCCATGTTGTTTATGGTGTTATAGTTTGACTGGTTCCCTTCGGTTACTCTAAAACTCTAAGAGGTGAGGTAGCATTACGCTGAGTTACATAGGGGTTGAAGGAGTGATAGTTTTTTGTTACGTTACTGACATTCATTTTTTAATTTCTCAAACATTTGCAGAATTTTTTTTTAAATTCAGTCGTAGACCTAAATCATTGAAATATTAATATTTCAATTTTTTAAGTCTAAAAGTTATGATGTATAAATTGACTTAATAATTTGATATATTTTTAATCAATATTGACTGAATCTGTAGATTACGAAGAAAATATTTAAAAAATCCATAGTATATTCTACAATTCAAATAAATTGGCGCAGCGAACTCACCCCTGCGTCATCCATGACAGCATCTGCACGTCTTGTGATCAGAATTTTTCTCGCAAGCATGTGCCCCTCCTCCATTCTAAAATTGTTTCCAAACTTATTATTAGATGCAGTCAGTATCTCCAAACAATTTCTACTTTAATTATTATAAACTTGAATATACAACACGACTAAAATAATACAAATTATTTTTATTGTTATATTTAGTTTAAAAGCGGAAAAAACGGCGAATTTTTTACTGAAAAATGCTTATTGTTGGGTATCCACGAAAAAGTGGATAAATCTTGTCCCATATACTTATAGTAATTTACTTCATCTAACACGTTGTGTAGTCAGAATCTGCTTAGTGGGTCCTTGATAATGAAAAATCGATTGAGGCAAAACGTCTGTTCGTCTGCCTGTACGTCCGTAATCCATCTGTAGTCAGCGCTAGTACCTAAACCATTCAGCCGATTGTCTCCGAAATTGTATTCTCTAATCAATCCTGCTGATGTCACGCCCCCTTCAATTTGTAATTTATATTTTTTATTTGGGTGTACTTTACATGAAGCCCCTATAACATTTCAAATTTAAAAAAAAATGGCATCACGGTTTCTGATTAAATTTTGCTGTTGGATTGCGCAAAGGCCGCTTAAGAGAATGGTGGAGGATTCATTTTTGTTTAAATCCCTGATTTTTCGAAAATTGCAAAAGTTCAATTTTTCCATATCTTCCTACAACTAACATATGAATGACAGGGATTTTTCTCCTTAATGAAATATATTTTTTAAAGACAGATTGTTCGGCCATGTACAATACATTTTAATATGTTACATTTTTTCTCCGAAAAGAAAAATGATTAAATTTTAACCTCGTAAAGGACGCTTACGGGAGTGGTGTAGATCTCATGTTCGTTGGAATTTTTGATTTTTTGAAACGTTCAAAAATTCAAATTTTTTCGGCTTCTCTCTACGACTACAGTAAGAAAATATATTTTTTCCCTGAAATGTTTCAGATTTTCAAACAAGATCATATTAAATTTTTTGAAAAAAATGACTATTGTGTGCCTAATTTTACGTGAAACGTAGGCAACTTTAAAATTTTAAACAATTTTTTCTCAGAAACGGATTAATTTTTTCTTAATTTTTTTTGCACATATGGATTAAGAACGTGATGCTGGCTCGAATTTTCCGCGCTTCGTTTGAGACGGTTTTGTAAAAACGGCCTTATGTACTCTCTGGTAAAAGCGCATCTCTGATTAACCAGCAGATGAATTTCAGACACAAACCTGTTATTTGTGTAATAAAGGAAATGGTAAATAGCGTTCTTATTATATATTTCAACTTATTATAATGTGCTAAAAGGTAGCTTTTTATTCTATAGGATTAGCACTAATCGTTAGAATCATTTATAGTATTTGTTGGCAATTTATACGTTTATTTGAATGTTTACAATGTGAAAGGGGAAGCTAGAAGTGAATAATATTTAATTGCCATATCCACAAATTTGTTTACAATAATATTCATTTATTTGCATTTTCATATTATTTTTTATAATATTCATTTATTAACATAAAATACGATTTAAATGAAATTTAAAGATAAACTTTCCCCCAACGCAACATAGTTTTTACTGTTTTTTGACTGAATTATCTAACCCAAACCCAAACCCAAACCCAAACCCAAACCCAAACCCAAACCCAAACCCAAACCCAAACCCAAACAAACCCAAACCAAAACCCAAACCCAACCAAACCAAACCCAAACCCAAACCCAAACCCAAACCAAACCCAAACCCAAACCGCACACCAAACCCAAACCAAACCCCAAACCAAAACGCCAAACCCAAACCCAAACCCAAACCCAAACCAAAACGCAACCGCAAACCCAAACCAAACCCAAACCCAAACCCAAACCCAAACCCAAACCCAAAACCAAACCAAACCCCAAACCCAAACCCACCCCAACCCAAACCCAAACCCAAACCCAAACAAACGCAACCCAAACCCAAAACCAAACCCAAACCAAACCACCGGCAAACCCAAAACCCAAACCCCAAACCCAAACGCAAAACCCAAACCAAACCCAAACCAAACCCAAAATCCCAAACGCCAAACCCAAACCAAACCAAACCCAAACCCACCCAAACCCAAACCCAAACCCAAACCAAACCCAAACCAACCAACAAACCCAAACCCAAACCCAAACCCAAACCCAAACCCAAACCCAAACCCAACCCAAACCCAAACCGCAAACCCAAACCCAAACCCAAACCCACCAAACCCAAACCCAAACCGCAAACCCGAACCCAACCCAAACCAGAAACCGCAAACCAAACCCAAACCAAACCCAAACCCAAACCAACCCAAACCCAAACCCAAACCCAAACCCAACCCAAACCCAAACCCAAACGCAAACCAAACCCAAACCCAAACCCACACCCACACCACAGCCACACCCACACCCACCCAAACCCAAACCAAACCCAAACCAAAACCA